CAGGCAGCTGCCCTCATGGGCTGAGCAGTCTGGAGCTGGACTGAGAGAACTTCTGCCAGTTCTTCACCTGCATCCCAGGCTTATGATGCCTCCTGCCTTCCCACAGGTCACCCTCTGTTTCTTAATTCCATGCCAATTTTTTTGGGATGTGCAGTGGCCATTGGATTTGCAAACCTGGAGCCACTGCATTGCTTGCTGCTAAGACCAACATCAACAGGAACAGGCCCAGGATATTCAAAATACCCTCTGCCTGCACTGTGTCAGTGCTCCTGCAGAACAGAGCACAGAGGGAACCACGGTGCTTTCAGTTACCATTTACTTTCAGCTGGATATGAACAATGTGATAACACAAATGAGTGGCTGCTCATCCACCAGCACAGCCTCCAAACTGCTGTGTAGCCTCCTCCAGGTCTGGGGGTCTTTCCACTACTTCCCATCAGATCTATAAGCAATGGTGGTCCTGTGATACAGCAGGTCTATGGCTTGATCCTCAACCCATCCTTCCTCTTAGGGCCAGGCCAGCAGCTGGGGCCACCTTGCCTTATCCTGAATATCAGCTTTCTTCACCCATCCCTAGAATTATTTACCTCTTTCCAATGGAAGAAAAATGGTCAGATTCAGCCCTGAGTCAAAAGATCCTCATTTGGTCCTGGATGTGTTGAGAGCATGGGTCACACACCAGAGCTGGAGCACAGGAAATCCTGGCTGTGTAAGTACCAGGGAATTCTGCCAAGAAGACCAGGGATTTTTTCTGTAGTTGGCCCTTGGAGAATGCTTCCTTTGACACACACACACAAAAAACTATATAGAAAAAAATCCATGTCTTGCAAGCTTTTGAAAGCATGGTCATGTGCCACAGAGGCTAATGGGCTCACCAGTAATGCTCCCCATCATATAACTCAACATACTCTAACAGGAACATACTCTAAGAAGTCCTCACCCCCTCTTGTCTTTTTTTTTTTTTTTTAATTTATTTTGGTTTGTTTTAAATAAAGCCATGAGACCCTTGAAAAAGCAACCATTACAAACCACAAAAGGAGTTTTCTAAAGTGCTGAGCAGCCCCTCACAGAACCAGAAGGAAAGTTTTCCACAGAAAGTTTTCCACGTTATCCTCGCACAGAAGAAAACACTGAGAGGGCAAAGCTCTGCCTGGGATAGTGTGGGAAAAAGGTCCAGTCTCAACTGAGCAAGGTGTGAGTTCCCTCTTCCCTTCCATTCCTCCCAAAGAGGATAAACCATCCTGGTTTTTTAGGCAGGTGTAGCTTCCCTCAAACTTGACCAGAAGTTTTGCACATCCCTCTTTAACCACCATGCCCACGCTGATGGAGATGCCACCAGCATTAGCCATTTCAGAGAGCTGCCACGCTCTGAGCACACTGGATTACAAGGCAATCCCAATCTTTCCTTCTTTGCAGGGACAAACCTTTCAGCTAAACAATCACATTTCTCTCTAACAGTCTGTTCCACCACCTGTCCAGAAACTTCACCAAATTATAGACAGTGTGACTTGTCTCCTGAGCAGGCCCTGCCAGGAAAATGACCTGAAGCCCTCTTCACCAGGGTCTATTCTTCTTCTGTTGCATTTGATGGGAATTCTCTGGTTCCAGCAAGGGGAGGCTCAGCCCACAGTTTCCCAGCTGTCACTGTTCTCCAGGGTTTGTGCTATCTGGAGATTTTCCTGCAGCCAGGCTGGCTCAATTCCAAAAACCAGGAATGAGCTTCCCGAGACATCCCTCCCTCTTATCACTCACTGCCTTAAACAAGTTTGACCTTTTGATTGATTTGAACTTTGGACAGCATTAAAACACTTGTTCTAGCAGATGAGGTCAGTCCCTCAGCTTTCTGCTGTGTGTAATGGGGCAGTTAATGCTACAGCAGTTTTAAATCATGGCATATTCCCAACTGTGAGGACAGGGAAAGAAACAAAGCTCACCAGAGGTTGTCCCCTGACATCAGGCTGGGCCAGGCTTGTGTTGCACAGCTTCAGTTTTCAACTCCTGCCTCATGGTTACTTCTTCTACTACATGTTGCAAAGAAAAAGAAACCTTTCAAATAGCCCAGAAAAAGTTCTTATCCCTCGGTCTTCCTCTCCTCTCTATCCTCCCCTCATGATTTCCTGAAGCCATCTACACGAAATCCCTGGAAATGCCTCCTGCAAAGGATGATGGTGTCACTGGTGACCTTAAGCAGAGGTTTCTAATAACCAACAACGACAAACAAAAGGAGTAAGAAAACATTTCTATGGCATTTAAAATAGACTTGGAAGGAAAGATATTTTGTCTAAACAAATAAATATTCCTCAAGCTGTCACAGGCCAGAATTTGTAACATCACACTATATGTCAGACTTGGAAAGAAAAAAAGCCCAACTGGAAATGGATTACAAAGAGCAAGTTGAAATAAATGCAAAAACCAACCACACAGGGAAAACCACATTGGAGTGAACCCAAATCTTTTCATCACTGTAAAATATTTTATGTTAACGTGAAGAGGAACTTATTCTTTTATTAATGCAGGATTTTTTTTCTCTGCCATCTATTCAGGACTCAATACAGACAAATAAAAGCACTGTCAGTGACTTCATTGCCCTCAGTCTTATATAAAGGGGTTGAACACACACTAATGGGCATTTCTTGGAGCCCTGTGACAAACAGGGGTAATGATGGGCCACTTTTTTCCCTGCTTGCAGAAGAATGCTCATGACTAATAATGTTTGCTTATTTACAGTTACGGTTCTAAAAATTACTAAAGGAAATCTTAGTTGTTGTAGGGAAATTTACAGATAAACCTCAGTACTGAGAAACAGTTTTTCTTCAGTGGTTTGTACTCACAAGCCTCCCCCATGTTGGTCACTGTGTCATTGCTGTGAGAGGTCATGGCTGTGAACGTGATCTCTCAGATTGTTAGGGCATATCCAAAGGGAAAGATCCTGGATTTGATCACTTCTAAGGATGGTGTGACCACCTCCTAATTAGATGGGCTGATGCACCCTCTGTCAAGTAAAACTTTTTTCCTGGCCTATAGATTGATTTTTAGGTGCGATGAATTCCAGCTAAGGTGCATGGAAATTTGAAATAAGCTCATCACAGCATTCCACTGTGGCTAATTTCCTAACTATTAATTTCCTGTATTGCCCCAAAGGCCTGCAACTGCCATACTCCATTGCTTCCTGCCAACTCTAGTAAAGAATCTGGTGTTACTCACCCAAAATATGCCATTTCTTCAGGGAAATATGGCTAAACTTCTAGTCTGAGGGGTCTGATGGTCAGGATGCACCAGTGGTCACCTAGAGCAGGGTCAGTGATGCTGTGCACCTTCAGCCAGGGCTGGACCACAGCACTGTGCTCTAGGCACACACTATCCCAAAACACTCCCAGGAAGGACACAGCCCTGCAGCACTGACTGCATGGGAATACAAAGGGAGGGAGGAAGGCAGGAGAGCAAGAACATTGTTTTTCAGAGCTCATCATTCAACACTGACACACAGAAAATTCCCCAGAGCCTTGCAGGGCCCTGAACACCCACCAGCAGGGAGAGAAGAAAACAAATAATATTTTCTTAATTTAATTTTAAAAACAAGCACACAAAATATGAGTGCCCATAAATTTTACATAGCAACATTCTGTCCTTTGGATCATCTCCCCAATCCACTCCCGTCTGGAAAGTTAAACAAAGCTAGTTATCTTGTAAAATATTAATTAAAGTAAGCATTGTATTGGGTCCCATGAATCATTTTGTGTTCAATATTTGCAGTGTCACCATGGTGAGGAGCTGCACCTAGTGACAGTGCATTACTTATAAAGACTGGTGAGCTCAGCTATTGCTACTGGCTCCCCAAACTATAAACCTGTCGTCCGGACTATGACAGCTCAGAGATCATAAAATGAGGCTTCAAAGTCAGCATATCTACAAAACACACATTGACTGAGATAAAATTGAAGATGGAGCCTTTCACAGAAACCTGAGGCAATAACCTGATGGGATATAACATGAAGTGTGAAAGCTTTAGTGATCACAAGAGAAAAAAAAAAAGGAAAGTAATTCAAAAGCTCCCTCACTAACGTGCCCTCCCAAGAGATTCTGTACAGCCCAGTTTCAAGGCATATCTCTAAATCACTGGGGAAAATTTCTTACAGATTATATTTCTTGGAAAGGGCTTTGCAACACAATGCTCCTACATTCCCAGAGATCCAGTGGCCACTCACAAGTATTCAAAGCAGTGTCTCATGTCTGGCAAAAATGGCACTAGTTGTGCTTCTTAGCAAGTTTGGATCCAAGGACTGGCTTTGTGTAAGGTTCCAAATGTGAGTGAGCACTGGGAGATGATCCATTGACACCCTGCCTCTGCCACCTGGTAGGCAAAGTGTTTTGTACAAAGTGCCTCATGTGGCCGCTCAGACACTTGTCTGAGTACTTCTACATTAAATCAGTCACAGCAAGAACAATTTAAAACTGTTGAGCAAAACATCTGGACCAGACACTGCTAAGGCTGTTGTTTGACCACGCTGGCTCTCCAGGGCTGGTGTTGGGAGGAGGTTTTTGGTACCCTCCCATGCTCCGTCTGGGCCGCAGAAATGAGACTGAGCCATTCCCTGGCACGAAGCATCTGACCAGACAAACCACAGAGCAAAGCAAACCTCGCACGTCCCTCCCTCCTCCCCTGCTCTCAGCCCACTGATTATCTCAGATCATCAGTGTTTTGGATGACCGAATAAACAGGATTATCCTCTCCCAGTGCCTGTTAAGTCAAAACTGTATGGCGATCCTATTAGTGGATCGCAGTGGTGTGAGTATATCCAAGCAGGAGATTAGCTTTTGCTTGCTCTGTGGAGCTGAAAACAGCACCGGGAAATTTTTAATCTCCATGAAGGGGACACTAGAGCTCACAGAAAAGAAAATCAAATTCATCTTTATTATCCTTCCCAATCAGCTGCCTAGCTCAGAAAAAAAAAAAAAAAAAAAAAAAAAAAAAAAAAAAAAAAAAAAAAAAAAAAAAAAAAAAAGAAAAAAATTATCCCAATAGACAAAGTCATAACCTTCTTTCACTGATATGGCACCGGATTTGGGATGCCAATGAAAAACATCTTACATGCATAGCCTTTTTCATCCAAACTGATCCCAGAGTGCTTTACAAGTGCTGCATGCAAATGGCACGTGGGATTAGCAGCACTTTACAGTGGTCTGCCTCTGTTCCCACTGAGGTTAACGGGAACAGAAGTGGGACTTGCTGTTGAGTAAAATGTGAACCAGGCTGGAACAGGGCCAGGACACTGAGATCAAGACTCGCATTCATTTGGAAGCTGCTGCCACAATGGCCCTATTGATCAGGACTTTGGGTTTACGTCTTGTCCAAAACAATGTACCAAGCTACAATAGGACATGAAATGCTGCCATTTAAAACCTGTTGGTAATTCACCACTATTTATTTTTCAAGCACTCAAAGATAAAAATATTGAAAGAACAAGCAACAGGGGAAATTCCCGTATCTAAATTAAAATCTTCTTACATAAACTATCTAGATTTTAACACAGGGCAGCATGCAAGAAAAGCCAGCCAGCTCCCAACCCTCTCAATACACGCATGCAGAAAAATAAGTTCCTTCAAAAGAAGCTTTGAAGAGCATAATTAGGCATGAAAGTAACCATATATTAAATTATACATCTAGTAAAAAAGAGTCATTAGCCCAACAAATAGGCTGTTAATGATTTCAGGTTTGCCTAAGGCCATAAGCTAATAAACTAGTGATGCTGCTGTTGAAAGCTGAAGCCTGGTGCCACAGTGCTTGCCCATGGATGAGAGACTGCAGAAAAACGAAAAGCAATGGAAAAAATCACAATATTTTGGACATGGAAACTACCAAAGTTTCAGATGGATGAAAGCTCTGCTCTCAGGCACTGTGAGCTCCATCACTTATCCAGACTCCTCATTTCCACTGTGTGCTGGGATTGCAAAACATGGGACTTCCCAAGTCCAAGGAGAAGCAAATAGAGCAGCCAAAACAGTCCCTTCTAAGGCAAGAAAAACTCTCCATAATGTGTCCTGGCACAGACCATGCCCAGGGAAGCCACGTCAGGAGTGTCTCCCTGTCTATTTGGAAGTCACTGCCAGTCCCTGCTTGGGACACCTCCCTGCTGTTCTTGACCTTGGGAGCTGCTACTTCTCTCCTCTGAGGCCACACTTCGGTGATCCTGGCAGCCGTTTATATGGAAAGTAATCCCATAAAAGTGTGCTTGACAGCTTCCTTCACACATTTCTTAGCAACTGGTAATAAAAGGAAAAAAACAGTGGGCCGTTTGGTCAGCCAGCTCTCTCCAAAACACCAGTACTTACTTTCCACCTCACAGTTTGAAGAGCTGAGGATGTGGGAACCAAAACTTGCACAAAGTAGTCCATTCCAAGGCTTGAAACAGCAGAAGCAGGGAGGATGGTGCCCACTCACTCTTGTCAGGATGACATGAGAGCTTATATACGAAATGAAAACACAAGCACGTGCACAAACCTCACCTCCACACAAGAAAAGGGACGTTTGTCAATGCAATTTAATACAAATAAAACAGTTTTTCACTGACAGACAGTGCACTGGGTCCAAAGAACTAGATAAATGAAACATTTTTCAAAGGATGTAATTACTCAGTAGCTTGAAGCAGAGAAAGGAAACAATCCAGTAAATTTAAGAACAAAGTTGTTCATCTCTCAACCAGCATCTTCACCAGCAAGCTCAAAGCCCCTCAATTTGGCTTTATAACAGGCGAGGGACAATGCCTGAGCTTCCCAAACTTTGCAAGAAGAAATGCCCATCCGTGTACATATTGCAGTTCACAGAATAGCCCCAAACCACTGAGAGACCCTGGAGACTGAGCCAGAATTCTGCTGGGTGCAGAATCCCCATCACACATTGTTGCTGGGGTGGCCAGGGATGCTGCAAGAGCCCAGCACGGCATTCCCAGGACCGCCCAACAGCCACCCTGGGAGGGCTCAGCTGCTCCCCTCAGTGCTGAGTTATCTGCCTCTCTCCTCTCTGACTTCTCCATCTCTTGCATCCTGTGGTGAAATGTGGAAGTGTGGAAACTGCATTTCTCCAGAGGGGCCCCGAGCTGTGTTTTGCCATTTGCTGCCCGGAGAGTTGCTAATGGTTTGATCTGACATAAAGTTCTCACACTTAAAGTAAATGCTATAAACACAGCACCCTCCAGGAAGGCCTAAAAGCAAAATGAGAGATTTGTTTGATTTAAGGAAGCCTTTCCCCAAGTATTTTTTAATGCTTTCTAATAGTTGGATGACTTTTTTTTTTTTTACATAAAAAGACAAAGTATTTTCCTTCCTAAGTGTAATTAAGGTCTAAGATTTATATCTCCACATAAGAAGACAAAAAAAAAAAGAAAAGAATTGGATCCTGTTTCAGTAGAGACCATAGCAAACACTCCTACTGGCTGCAGTTACCAACACAAGGCCCATGTGCAAATTTCAGAGGTAAGTTTTCCTGGAAACCACTTACCAAATACTGCAAAGAGTTCACAAATATTTTCTTAATGTCTAGTTTCCTTACAGTAATATTTGCAGCACAGTTTCAGACATGTTGTTGAACTGTTTTTTTGAAACTTACATTACCCTGGCATATAAGTCCTATGCATGGTTCCTGACTTTTCAAATAAATGCTCTATTTTTCCATATTATTATTACAAAAAGCACATAGCTTGATTTCAGCAGCAGTTGCATAGCCTTCACATTAAATATAGCAGTCATTGACTTTCCCTGAGATTCAGACACTTCTGAAAATAAGCTTTTTGGCACCCACTAAGGAACACACTGAACATCTCCTTTAGTTACAAGCCCTCAAAATAAAAAAGGCTTACAAAGTTCTTACATGTATCTCTAAGAATTTGATCTGAGATCTTATTTAACTCTCCTTATAAATATTCAGGGCTGGTCCAGCTCTTGCTGAAGTCAGAATATCTTCAGTGCAATCAGTGGGGGCATCTCAGTGCACAACTGGACAAGAGAGATAACTAAATATAAGAATTTAATTATTCCTTTTAACAGCCCCACCTGTCCTTGTGGGCTTGTACAAGAGAGGTCATATACAGAGCACCGACACGAGATCCTGAATGCCAAAACTTCTCCAGCACACAGCCCTGCCCTTCAGCCACAGTTCTTAATATTTAAAATGACCTTTCCAAATCTGTTTTGTTTTTAATATATTAAAAAATCTTTCCCACTGAAGTGGGGAGATTTTCCAGTGAACTCCACCACTTAACCCTGCAGCATTTTACTATTTCGAGATTAGAGCATGAGTTTCAAAACTTGTCCTGAACAACAAATATCTGCATGAAGTTATGATGACGTTGTACTGAGCCTAAGAGTCATCCTGGAATAGCAAACAATCCAAGCAACAATATTTGGCTCTGGATAGAAGTTTTCCCAGGAGTTCAGGAGTAATTTTCTCTTGTCCGCTAAGGTTACAAGTAATTCTGTCTGGGCTCCTGTGTGTGGCTCCTGAGGCCCACATGCTGTATAATCTGTCAAAATTGAATATTCTGTCATGAATAGCTTGTATTATACCTTTTCTAATTCTTTTTAGTTCCAAATATGACCTTCTGAAGAGGGCTAATCCTAAAACAGTTTTACCTTCTGTACAAATGCAAACAGACTTTGTGAGGTCCCCAGCATTTACCTTCACAAGGAACTACAAGAGATTTGCATTATTTCTTATTAAAACCATTTTGTTTTGCTATAAAAAAAAGTCCAGCAGGAGTGTTTTATTACCACAGCTGACCACAAGATGGAAATCCTTTTCCGTAAGATGCCTCCTGATTAGGAAAAATACTAATTTAAAAAAAAAAACAAAAAAACAACCAACAAAACACAAACTAGTCTTTTTCCAGGAAAGTGTTTTAGAGGAAGCAAAGCAGAGTTCTCGTCACATCAACAGCCTGTTTGGGAGGCCTCATCAAGCCTTTGCCTGAGAAGGTTTCCCTTTTCCAGGAAGGGCAGTTTCCCTCTGAAGTCGTTCTGATGGAAATCCCTCGCTGGCTCTAGTCCTTGTGCCAGCAGCTCAGATGCACCAAGCACGGAAAAGCACCATCGACATGTACTCATTGTTAAATTTGGAAATGTGAAGGATAAAGTAAACTCTTTCCTCATACCATTACAGGTTATTTTTAGAGTTAAAAAAGCCCTCTGAGGAACAGTTCCAGCCACCTAAAGCCTGGGATGGCAGAACTCAGGGAGCTCAGTGGGGTTTTATCTAACCTGCTACACTGTACCCTGCACAACCAAAACCACTGGTCTGGGATCTAAATGCTAAATGTCATTTATTTTTGTTATTGTTCACTTAACAAAAGTGTGCAGAGACTTACACTGGGATGCAACTGGACATAAACAGAACCAAAAGGCCATTCCTGTCCCCAGGGGCAGGGACAGGGCTAGTGAAGAGGGTGGCGGGTCCCTTTCCCACCTCCAAAGCACCTGTGGCATCTCCTGCAGCTCCGGAGGGGAGGGCTGGGGGTGCTGTTGCAGGACCCTCACTCAGTGCTTCATCCAGTCAACTTTGCTGTTGAACAAACTACTGCTGGGAAAGAGAATGAAAGAACAGCTTCCATGTTTTTCATTATCTGATCATGTTTTCCACTCTAAATCTAACAGAGGCAGCAAGCAGGGAGCTACACTTGGGAGACAGACAACACATTTGCATCTGTTTTGCTGATTACAGTAGTTGCACATTTTACTTTAAACATCAATGGGTTGCAACTGCTATTCAAATGATATGGAAATTGCTACTTTATACTGAAACGTCCCCTAAGCAACAAAGGAAAGGATTAGCACAGGGCTTTGGTTTTTTTTTTCTCTTCTTCTTTTCATTTTAATAAAACACAGTGGCAGTGGAAAACTCTTTGATGGTTCATGAACTACACCTGTATATTTTAATGTTTTATTCATACTAAGGTAGAGAATATTTGAATCCTTTTGTATAACTATTATGACAACAATTTCTAACAAACATCCTTCTTTATCTGAGACACTGAATTAATTTCACTTTCACAAGACTTCTTCCCCAAACAAATACTCACTCACACAAAGCAATATGAATAATTATTCAAGGTAATTAAGGTACCATCACCAATTTATGATTATTTTCAGATTTAGATGAAGGTAAGAAAATGCCTTAATGGAATCTGTCTTGTTTCCACATACCCAAAAACCATTTCTCATATGGTCATCCTCTTTCAAGCCTGAATCCTACCCACTTCTAACAGGATGTAAGAGAGTCAGTATAAATGAGAATCAGACCACAGTCAAATCACAGTGGGAATTTTTCCCACTGCAGCTCTCATAAATAGAATCAGTTCCATTTCAACAGTTTGCAGGATTGATCCTTTAATCCCAGCCCAACTCTGCACTTTTTATGCAATCCTCAAACAGCAACCTTTTGGGGAATTTTAATTGTAAACTTCATTCTGGAAGTAAGGGATATATAAAGACACCTTATTATTCTCCCCAGAATCAATTTCTTTTACAGAAGACCAATTAAAAACACTTTATACATTTGGGATGTTATTGCAAATTATTGATATGGCAGAGAAACATCAGCAAATGGATATCACTGGCCTCTGACATAACTTACAGGGACCTCCAAAGGAAAAGTTTCAAGAGGACCTCCATCCTTGTCCACTCACTGTTGTCATAGAATCTTCATCATCCCCATCTTGCACTTTATTCTGAACATCTCCTCTTCAGCAGAGCTATCCAGAAACTGCTGAGAAAAGTAAAAGCATGTTACTAACCAAATATTTTTTAAAAATAATCCCATGCAGACACATTGACAAAAACAGTTTGTCTAAAGAAACTGACTCACAGTGTTTCTATTCTGATGTCAAAGCTTTGAGTGTTCAGGGTGCTGAAAGGTGGGAAATGATCAAGTCTTGACCAAATCAGATACATTCCTATTCTCGAAATTACTTAATTATCTTTAAAACTAAAGCACTGAGCTCAGTCTGTGGGGTTTTGTGTTCCTTAAGTATCTAGAACAGACCTGGAGAGAAACCTTCAATTCTTCATAGGCAGGTTCAGAAGAGACATGTGAGCAAATACAGCAACTCCTTTCTTTCAATAACAATTTTCATCACATCACCCACGACAGACAGCAATGCCCCATCTAGAACTGCATCATGCAGGGCACAAACCCTGCTCTTACCCACGTGCCTCTGCAATCCCACTACCTTTGGTACTTTTCTTTTTTCCCTCACAAGTGTAGAAAGGACAACATTACTTTCAAACATTTACCCCGCGTTCATCACACTAAAACCACCACAGCAGGGCCAGCTACAATATATTCACACAGGAGCCCTGATAACCACACTTGCACTTTTGGTTTTGTTAGTCCCACATGAATATTTATGCACACTTCCATGCTACGTCCCCGGGTTTGCACAGGGCACAGGTTGTCAGCAGCTGAAAGCCATTAGCATCTGACAGCTGCTAAAAAAGCCTGTTGGAAACAAATAGGTGGTGCCGGGCATTGTGGGGCCGGCAGGTGATTACGGCATCATTACAAACTGCAGCTTCTTTGGCAGCTGCACGGACAAGGAGGGCCCTTCGTGCACTGCTCAGACCTGCCTGGCAGAGGGGAGATTTAATTATCATCACTACATAATGGGCAGTTTGTGGAAGGCAGAGACCTGACAGAAACAGATAGTGGGCAAACACAGGGCACAGCTCGCAGCCGACGAGGTAATTACAGTCCAAATAAGAGTGTAGGCGCTGGCTGGGAGCAGCAGATGTTGCTGTCCATCAGCATCTCCACACACAGCATATGTTCAAATGGTACTTGAAAACAAGGCAGCAGAGCGTTATTTGCAGAGCTACAGGATGCTTGGGGTGGGGTGGGGTGGATGTGTGATCAGGGAGGAAAACTGGGTTCTCACAGGGAAAATTCAGGGAACCTCCCAGGGGCAGAGAGGTAGAAGACATCCAGCACACAGGGCAGGGACTGCATGGAGGGACCAGGGAGGAAGAAAGACACCCTCCCCTCCCAAACCTGCTCCATGGATTTGATTCTCAGGGAGGGAGAGTGGGGCGGGAGCCAAGAAATTGTAACTCAGTGGAATAGAGAAATGAAACCTGTGCCCCCAGGCAGTCAGAGCCCATGATTTTCCACTTCAGGTGGGCAGCCTTGGGAAGGTGGACAAAGTTCTCCTCACATTTAACCCCTCAGGTGGAACAGTTTGCATACATGGCACATAAAAGGTGCTGCTCAGTTTTTGTTCAAGTCATGGCACTTGCTTTCTCAAAACCAAAATAAAAGCATATGTTGGGGTGGTCAAATGCAACAGAAGAGAGGTACAGTGCAAGACTGAGATGCTGGAAATGTTTGTCTTCCTGCCCCACTGGTGAACACAATTACTCCACTGAAGGCTATTTCATAAGTTGTTTTTTAAAAAAAATTATGGAAAAGCAGGAAATGCCAACATGTGCACATTACTTTCTTCCAAACCATTTTCTTGGCAACCATCCCGTCTGGCCTACCTCATTCTTTCTTCCAAAAGAGAATTAATACTCATCTTCCCAAACATTGTATTTGAAGAAGTTCTGCAACGGCTATACCTACACAGCATCACCTTCCAGACTTGTGACGCTGTTGCTTTCACCACACTTCATTCTTCCAGCATTCTTTCTTGCTTCTAAAACTGTGTGAATAATTACCATTGTAAATAAATTTATGCACCGGTTAAAAAAAAAAAAAATCCCCCAAACCACCAAAAAACCACCATAGTCAGTAGCAACATAAATTTGGGTTGTAAATTGCCACACAACACTGTCACATGATAAACAATGACGTACCTGCACAGTTTCAGTGCCTTTGATGAACAGCCAGATTCAGATCTTTTCAACATTTTCTTATTAAGGATAAATTACAGAACAAACTGAGTGTGCTTGAGTGAGGTGGCCTTGATGGAAATGGTGTCCAGGTGTCAGGGTTTCTCTGATGTCCCTACAGCCTTTCAGATATTGCAGCCTTTTCTTTGGAGATGCAAAGTCTCTGAATCAGGGGGTTTTTTAGTAAAAGCATCATTCCTGGATACTGTCCACCTGAAGAGAGAATCATGTCTTTTGATTTTGCCTGGACTCACAAGAAGGGATGGCAGAAAAGGAGACTCTGTGTATGTGTCACATGTTGGGAACTACTACTCAGTTTTACTCAATCTGGTCTTGCTCTCTTAGCAGACTTTTTGTCCCATGTTCTGTGTACATCATTAATATTATAAGCACAATCACAGTGAATGTTTGTGCAAACGATTAGCTCTTAAACTTCTTGGTACTTTATACATCTCTCTTACTATTTTTATTTTTACTTGTATTTTTGGAAATGGTGAGCATGAAAATATACCCGCTTTCCTGGAAGCAGATACACAATATGGCTCTCATTCACAAGCCTCAAAGCTAATAAGAACAGCAAACATTTATTGCTCGAATCATCAGTGAAGAACTGACCCCGGTTATCCAGTCCCAGGGCTCACAAAATGCTCAGCGCTGCATGTTTGTGCAATGTATTTTTAAAGCAGACACTGTTTAAAATATGCACAATTAATATTAACAAAGACCTGTCGTTCTCAGTGCGAGTGGCTGGAACAAGTGCTGCCTTCTGTCTGATGTGCAATGACCTTTTGAAGTATTTTTAGGCACTGTCCTATAAGCAATGTGTCTTGCACAAATTACTTCTGCCCAGACATAAAGCAACATTAACCATGAGAAGGAAAGAGCAACATGGAGTAAATCTCAGTTTTCCAAAATTGGGAGAAAAAGAAAAGTACCAGGTTTTGTGAGAGGATTTATGAACTGAATAATTTTCTCTCTTATTTAATCCTAACATACAGGATGATGGGCCACAGATAGGAACATTCATAATGGGCTGAGGTGTTGTGTGATTCTTCCATTTTTGAGTAAAGGAAGAAGACTGCAGCAATCAGTTCCTTGTAAGAAACAGAATTAACAGAATCCATTACGTATTTAATTAAGAAGCGTTTGTGTCTTCAGGGAGGGTAAAGATTAATTTAGGTAACTACTAAAATTTTTCAATCTTCATAACTTTAAGTGAAAAATTAAATTTAGAAGAAACCTGTGCGGAGAAATAGCACTCTGTGTTGGAAGTGATTGTCTCTGAGCCACAGGAGAAGTCAAACTGCACTGTGGTATATAAGTAGCTCACACAGTCATGTATCTACATATATCAATAATGAAACAGTCTAGGAAATTACATGAAGGATTAGGACAAGATCAGATAAATAAATAAAACAGAAAATATAAAATCAGACATTTTCACACCTCAGAATTTTTGTCCAAGTTGGAATCGGATTCCGGAGTCTACTTACTTACAGTTAGAAAAGTCAAGTGTCAGAGAGTAATTCTCAGCACCCAAAAGATGAAACGCATTCTAAGTTGTTTTTTTATTTATTTAGTCAAGGTTTCGGAAAAAAAAAAAAAAAAAGGTGGAGCAGGAAATAAAACTCAATATAGAATTACTTCTGATGCAGGAAAAAACTCAGGGTGTGATTGTATAAAGGATCACCTGCTTTAGGTGACACTGCCAGTCAATTTCCTTCCCTGTTACATCACCACCAGGCTCCTCATTAAGCTCATTTCTTTAAAAGACACCCACAAAGGCCCCATGCAATCAAAATAGCTTGGTTTACTGACATCAAACTACGAAGAAATTTAAAAAAATAAATTTTCCCATTAAATCGGATAAAAAGGTGTAATCTGTGGAAGTTTTCCATTTAAGACTTGGATAACAAATTCTTCTGGTGTAATGGTGCCACCAGCAGATAACAGTTAGAACTCATGTTAGCTGTAAAACCTAGACAGGATTACAAATAGCTCTATCTAGGTTATTTAAGCTTCTGAGAATGAATCCTTTAACTTCAATATTTTGATAAGAACATGGAGCTAAAAAACTTGTTCTAAATGTGAATTATTGGTAGATAAAACTTCGGATTCCTAACTCTCTGTGTAAGTTTCTTATGTGTTCCTCCATGATTTATAAAGACAGGGAAGTGTTTGGGACAGCGTGGGGGTTTTCCCACAATAGGAACTGGTGATTTTTCATGCCTGAACAACTGACAAACACTGGAACAGGAACAACAACATTAAACTCTGATAACTGAATTACTGGAACTCTTCAGTTTTGTCTACACAAACACTGATCTGATAAACACTGAATATCTCAGTGGAGCAACTCCTGTTGTCCATGGAGATCCAGGACTCTCTTCTGTTGCAGGGTGGGAATTGAGAGCACATGTTTCTCCAGACACTGCAGTGTTGACATTCCCAATGTTACTGACACCTTTCTACCTATAGCACCTTCATTACATTGGTCACTTCTCATTCATATTTACTTAGCAGGTTTAGGAATTTGGAATATAGGAAGAAGTGCTTGCCATGCAGGTATGGATTTCCTTTCAGAAAAGGAACTGGGAACGAGATCACGGTTGCAGTAGTGTCATTGAACTAAACTCAACTGCCCTGAGAAAAGTCACTCCAGACTGAAACACAAATAGAGTAACACGAGAATCAGATCAGTTCTCAGAAAGATCATTTAACACAAGTCTTCCATTGGCTGATTTACAGATATGGAATACAAGAAAATTTGTAGGAAACACACATATTCTGCAATTCTTTACAGCCACAGCCTCTCCCTGTGTTGCTCTCAAGTTTAATGGAGCTAATCTGGAGCACTCCTGGTAGCCCTGCAGGGCCCCCAGCACTCAAACCCACAGCTGAAAGTCACTGTCCCCCGTTGTGCATTCACACTATTGCACCTGCATATTTTATTTCACACACAAAAGGTCAAAAGCTTGCCAGCAGGCTGCCTGCCTTCTCAGACACACAATGCGTGCAGAAAAATAACTCCAAGGAGCTGCCTGCTGTAATTTCCTGCAATTTAAGACTATTTATTTTTAAAACTTTTGCTGCCAACCTCCCCATCTGACTGTCACACTCTTGCTGAATTTTACCATCAGAACATAGTAATTTATTAGAGATCAAATCCAACCGGTTATTTGACTGTCTTGGTTTTAAATACTACTCAGCCTTTTTAGGCTTTTTAGCTCTGAATCCTTCGGGCTCTCTATAATTAATGTTCCTTCAGCAGAGGCAGTGAGGGGACTGGTTGTGCACAGTTAACCCTTTGCTGAGACCAACACAAAACCACAGCAAGGGGCTGTGTTGGCAAAGAGCTTGCCACGAAGGTTCCACTGAATTCCTTCTACTTCTTTGCACTTGGAAATTAATCTTTCATACAAATGGGCTGAGTATAGCCACCACCTACCCACTTGATTAGAAACTGGTCTGTGCCTGCAAATGTTAATTAACAGACGGGGGGGGAGGGGTCACACACCCACACATATGGCATTTTGGGAGAGACTGGAACTTTCATAAAGCTTCTGTGGCAGCTGAAGGGATTTGAGACGAGAGAAGGGGAATGATCAAGGTAAAGGCCAAATATTTGCAGTGTCAGGTATGTATATGGGGGCTGTAATGGTAGCACAGAAGGAAACACGTATGTGAGAACCAGGGATGAGCCAGCATGGAGCATTTGAGCCAGACAGCGTGCTGGTAGGTGATCACTCCACCTGAGAGAGCACCAGAAGAGAAGAATAAGGATGCCCAGCATTAGGCACACTGATTTTCCCCTCCAAAATTGACCCAAAAAACTGAAGCTTTACTGATCCTGAGAAAGTGATGCATTAGGGTCTAGATCCACTTGACTGGGGAGCAGCTCTTAGGAAAAGGACCAGGAGGTCCTGGTGACCAACAAGCTCAATATGAGTGACCAGTGAGCTGCTGGGGCAGAGACACAACAGGCTGCTGGGCTGCATCAATAAGTGCATCACCAGCAGAGATAAAGAAGTCATTTTCCCACTTGATTCAGCACTTGTCAGGCCTCACCTGGAACACTGTTCAGTGGTTTTGGTCCCTGCTATACAAAAAAAAAAAATGTGGAAAGGCTGAAGAGAGTCCAGAGAAGGGCCACAAAGATGATCAAAGAACTGGGGAGCTGGCACATGAGGAAAGTCTGAGAGTACTGTGTTTGCTTAGCCTTGAGAAAAGAAGGCTTAGGGAGAACTCCTTACCAAGTTCTACTATTTAAAGAAGATGGAAACTCCCCTTTTTACAAAGAGTCACATGGAAAAGACAAGAGGTAATGGGTACAAATTACTGCTGGGGAGATTCTGCTTGGACACAAGAGGGAAATTTTTCACAGTGAGGACAATTAGCCGTTGGAACAACCTCCTCAGGGAAGGGATGGATTTCCCAAAGTCAGACACGTTTCAAATTCAGCCGGACAGGGTGCTGGGCCGTCTTGTCAAGACTGTGCTTTTGCCTAGGGAGGTTGGATCAGATGATTCTTGAGGACCTTTCCAACCTGGTATTCTATGGCTCTATGAAAAATATTTATGAGAAAATATTGAATTTATTCCTACATTGAAAGACGATCTCCTGTGCTCTTTAGGTCAATATTATCATAGCCCAGAGAAGGTCAAATAGCAGATATTTGGCAAGAAGTAAAGACCAGTAAATTGCACAGTAAAAGTAGGCCAATAATGAACATATTTTCCTTTAAATTTTAGCATCTTGTTATCATACTTTTTTTCTCCAGCAATGTGACCTATGCCATGAATAGCAAAAAAATATAACCTAGCATAGGAAAACAACAATATTAATCAAGGTCTACTCTCAGATATACATTTTTGCTAGTGAGTATTTCATAGTTAGGAGGGCTTAATTTGACCTCATAACATTCCAGTAATCTGCTGTAAAACAAAATCACAGAAAAATTACTATGTTTGATATTTACTTATTAAAAATTCTAACTGCAGTTGGAATTCTGAAGGGGCTGCCCTAAGAAAGCTTCGTCCTTTCTGGGTGAACTATTTAAGGCAGTATCCTTGACTGAACTTCCAGCATTTCAGCTCATTTGACCATGTTTGTCTATCACCCAAAGCACTCCCAGCAAAAATAGCTGCCAGAGCTCCTGTGCAGCAGTTTGTCTCAAGAACTCTGGTTTTTGCAGTTCTCTTATGCTGTATTTTAAGCAGATCTTTTCCCAAGTCTCTTATCAAATAGCTTTTAGTAGTGACAGATATGTTTGGTGTAAGCAGATATGTTAGTTTCCCACGAGCAGGAGCTTTTAGAGAGACTTTCAAGAGATTATTTGAATTAAAGAAACTAAATTACCATAAATAAATATCAAGATCTATGGTGGGCATGAATAAGTGGCAAAAGGCATAAACAAAACAACCATAATATCAGATTGTTATTGAAACAATACAAAAAATGTAAAATTCTATTCTGAACAACATGTTTGTTATTTCAAAGGAATTTCAACCAAAGTAATCAGAAAATCATTCCATTTTACAGATTGCATGCATATTCTACTGTACTAAATGGAGTCTGAAACATATAAACAATCTGTACTAATCTAATTATAAATGTACTAATCTATGTTGGCACAATTTTTCTTATGACTATCTTACTACCTACTTTATTTCTTAGCAGTAAAGACAAGTTTATAATAATACTTGTTTGAGAGTTATGTGATGTAAACCACAGCCTTTATCAGCGTGGAAAGTCTCAGCAATTTCACTGAATAAAAAGGGAACTTGACTGAATAAATTGTAACAGGAGAGCAAAGTTTTATTATTACAGTATCTACACTGGCATGTAGTTTAGGGACAGGTACTTGTCTTCCCTATCACACTTGCTTGGAGTTGGAACAGAAAAATCCAGGAAGGAGGAAATAACAGCAGATTAAAAAAGACTAAAGCAGTTTCCAGAAATGTTACTCTCCCCTTGCCTTTGTCTAAGTGTTGGTATAAAGGAACATGCCTCAACACGCAAACCAGCCCCAGAGAGCATCGGAGAGGAACAAGCCTTTGTTTAGAGCAACACCAGGTTACCCTGCACTTCTTCATTCTGCCAGCTTCTGGTAACCATAGAAAACTGACACAGGACACACAGAGCCTGAATGGTGAATGAAAATGTCTGTTAATAAAGAGGATCATGTGTAGTGCTGGATGCTCACTCACCTCCTCACTAATGGCTGGGGAATCATAATCCTTTATGTAGTTTTGACAGAAAACGAACACTGTAACTCTGTAACTTCTTTCAAAAACAAACATTTTGCTTCCAATTCCTTGGGCCTCTACTAAAAAAAAAATTAAAAAAAAAAAAAAAAAAAAGGAAGAAAAATTCCCCCCAACGGGCAAAGAAACAGTCCATTAAAATAGGAAGTGTTCTGTGGTATAGACAACATTCAAACACAGTTGCTGGAGGTAAAAAACCACAACATATTCTTTGTATTTGAATTAGTTCCTGCCATTTCAACTCCTTACTGAGCACAACCTCTGTTTGATGTTTCTTATTCTTCATACAGTTAAACTCTAAGGCTGACTGATTGATAATGGTGTTACTTATTTCCCCAGTTTCCAACCAGCAATGCAACCACAAAGCTTTTGGATTTTAGTCCTGTTCAGTAAGAAGCATAAGACTGGCTTGGTTTTGTAACATGACAAAGAAACATGAAATGATATCATTATTTTTGTACCTTTTGTAAGGTATGAATATAAACGGACAGTTTATCTACACTGCAGAGAACAGGTTGCTGTCAGTGACCAACACTGTTTACAACTTCTTTGTAAATGCACAGTCATAAAAAATTGAGTCATATTCAATAGAAAAGGACATTCTTAACAGCTAAGCATTATGGTAAATGTAAATAAATATACTTATGTGCCCAGTTTGTGCTGATTCCCAGGCTAGATGAGTGTCCCAGGGAGCATGGGCTAGAAGGGAACAAATTTCATCACTTCCTCACTTCCTTGCTAATGATCTCTATATCATGCAGCACAAGGACTGACGTAAATTACTTCTTAATTAAGCAAGAGTACACATGTATTTAGGGAAGATATATTTCCTCAAGTCAGAGCGCTTAAAAAAACAAAAAAAAATCAGTTTCTAAAAATAAGGATTTGATCATGAATGTCATTATTGCAAAATCTTAGAGAGAGTTTTACTGGTTTTGTAAAACAGAACAACCTGAATTCTGAAAATTAAAAATTAATCTTTGATCAATGATTTCAGTGGACATCACATGAAACAGCTTTGCCTACACCCATTAAATCGTGGGTTGTTACTTTCCCACCCCGTGCACTCACAAACAGGCTGGAGCACACAAGGTTTTTGTTCACCTGGAAACATCACCGGGTACCACAGCACCACCCACCCCTGCACAGACCGAGCCACTGATGCTTCTGAAAGTTATATTTGTACTGCATTTTGAGATACGTAAATAACCTTAAATCAGTTATGTTTTCTAGAAAATCCAAATGGTTTCACCTTCCTCTCATTTACAAGTATAAGAAACTTGGGCCCCAATATCTAAAACTGCTACCTAGCTGTTATTAGACTCTTAATTTTGAGTTTTACCTCAGAATAGTGGAGTTGTAATTTAACAGCAAGTACTGATATCCTGAGAAATGTTACATCCTTTCATCACTTCTCATTCCCCACTATGAATTCTCATCCTAGTATTTTAGCATTGCTGATTTCTGGGCCTTGTGAAAGGGTGGAATAAAGAGCTGATTTTATGGCAGGCCTGCTGCTTGTGTCTGTTACTGTTCACTCTCCATCAGGAAAGCTTTTTGTATTAAGTTGTAAAGGAGTCACTGGACAAACATAAAAAAATGAATCAATCACTGTAAGAAAAAGATGCACTTTCAAGTTAAATATTATGAATTATGTATATTCATTCATTCATGCTGCTTATTGATATTTGTTGTGAAGTAACAACAGCTTGTGTATTCATCAAAGGATTTAACACTAAATGGCAATTTTATGTTTAAATCACAATTACTTCTCTGTTTCAGAATGGGGCTATTTCTTATTCATCTGCCAACATGGCTGGATTAGGAAAAAGAATCAAGAGAACTTTCTCCATTTGTATCTCATGAAAGAACTTTCTTGATTTAAAGCACGGGATGAAGTTCACTTCCAAGTATATATTTACCAACAGAGTCACTGCCTGATGCTTTGTGACGGGAGCTGCATCCTCAGGGTGCAATTACAGCAATTATCTGGATGGATCTTCTCATCAGTGACCTTTGACTCATCTCCTACAAACTGTCAGTCTTCATCACCAAATGGGGAAAGCAGAGTATTGTTTCGACTCAATCAGCTGCTCCTGAGAAAGAGAAAACCCCACATTAGGGCAGGCTGGCTGCCCACACTGACCTCCTGCAGCCAGCCTGCATCTGCCAGGCGAGGGGAGCCCGGCAGGAACAGCAGGTCCCTCCTGGGCTGCTCCCCTGGCAGGATGAAGCCAGCAGCACCTCCACACACTCCTGCATTCCTTCGGCACTGCAAGAGAAGAAGAAATAAATCTTTTTGGATTCAAAGTGCGGAGTACTCTCATCTTCTCTTCTTTGTTGGTTTTGCGTCAATTTTTGGAAGTTTGCCCCAAAACCCTCTGTCTCACTTCGCATTTAACTGGAATGAACTCGCTGAACCAACCGAATTTACTATGAAATCACACCTATGCAAAGTCCTACCTTACCACTATTATGACATTTATTATCTCACAGTTTTACTGAAGTAAAACTCCTGCGTAAGTTTTGTTCGAGGACATGGCCTGGAGGGTACAGCTCATGAGAAATTAAACTATTTAAACTCACAGTCAGTAATGCTAAATGATGAAGGGATAAATGACTCAGTTCAAACAGCAAGACATTTAAAACGGAATTGGAAAATAGCAACTATAAACATTTTTATAACTTTCACTTTGCAGTGAAACAGCTGATGACTGACTATAACAGAAAAATTAAATACCACTTTTGCCTTAAAGGGAGGAGAGCTTAATTCTCCCAGCACACAGTTCTTCCAGAAAAAGGATGGCAGTTCTAAGTCTGAATTATAATGACCATTACCTGCTACCTACCATTTAATCAGTTGGTAATAAAAGCAGGGCTCTTCCTTATCAAAGCAATCAGCAATGTCACTCCTTGGCATTCCTCCCATTAGCTGCAAATGTTGTGATGCGGACAGAGCAGGGATAAAACCAACAACAGACAATCTGGGAAAAAAACCTCCAAAGCTAAAAATAAACAAAATAATTTACAGAGGTAACTCAGTCAACTACTAAAGGAGAAAGAAACTAAACTTTCATTGTCAAGTGTCAATTCAAAGTGAAAACAGATTGAACCAAAACTGTCCAAAAACGCTTTACCATTTTGTAACACTCACACCCCCCAACGCCAGACAGAGCCCAGCTGTTTCTGTGGCTAACTTCAAACAATAGCTGGGCTGTTTAAAAGCTCAACAACAGGGAATGATGTTTGCCTGAAGACATACTGTATTAATGTAAATTGCTTTCAAATGCACATTCAGTTCCTTAAACAAAACAAAAAGAAGATATTAAACTGTGAGAGTGGAGGTTACTGTTAGAGCCACATATAACCCTGTCAGCCATAATTCAGTCACCCATTAGGGACCACATGGGGGGAGCTTGCATTCAGAGGGAAGGACAGCAAAAGGGGCCTCTATTTCTGTAAAAGGAAAGTGTTATTCATTTTCCTACTTCAGAAAGGCCTCAAGAATATGGAGTTGTGTCTCCTCTATGAACCTTCCAATTGCTATGAGATGAAACCCTCTGTACTTCCTCCTTATGGGATGCTCTACACTCATGCCTATGGCTGGTAGTCCTGCTGCCAGAGTGCCCTCATATCACCTTAAGCACTGACCTTTAAAAAATTATAAATGTTATTTCAGCTTTAATATTCTGATTTTAGTGTCTCTGGAAGTGATTAACAGCACTGGTTTTATGTCTTCAGGTCCTTGCCTGTTTGCTCATCACCTTCTGCTAATGTAACTTAATCATTACACGCTGTAACACCCCAGGTTTCTATTTCTAGTTCACTGAAATTAAACTAGTAATAAGCAGCAGCATACTGTATCATCAGTGGGCTTTCATTGTTCCTGAAGGCAAAAGGATTAAATCAGAGATTAATTTTGTTCTGTGTATCATCTTTCTCATCTGTACAATGGGGACAACATAGCTATAGTTGAGAGAAAGCAAAGCTTCCTCACAACAACAATTACATTCCCATCTGCTAATTTTTTGTCAGTTATCTTTGCAGTAGAGTTGTGAGATTTTTAAATAACCAAATTTGTGTAACTAACAAAAAAGTGATCATGGCAAAGATCTTCAGTAGATGTGCCGACAGACAGCAGACATGTTTGCCTAATCCAGACTTGGTAATCAGCAAAAAGATTTGAAAGACAGGAAAAAGATTAGTTTGGATACAATGGAGAGGATGGCAGGAACGTTACGATGACAGTTCAAGAACATCTCTTGGAACACTCACAAAAATGGAAATCAGCTGGGAATCCACCATTTCCTCATCTACACTACTAGAATAATGCTTAGACGATGAGTAAAGACCATCTCATGGTAAAATCTTCCATCACAGCATGAAAAGACCCAGTGTCGTGGTGATGCTGACTGTGCACCGTTCCCACACTGTTGTGTCAACACTTCACTTGGAGAACATATAAAAGAAACCTACTGGGTTTGACAAGTGCACCCTTTATCAAAGGGCCAGATCACTCCTCGTGGCCTGTGTACACACTCCACCTCACCTTAAAGGACTTCTAAAATTTGTCTAATGTATCTGTTGCTTGTTAAAAGCCATAAAACATCTTTAAGTAAGGATTTCTTAGATAAGCAGCTGAAATTATCAATAAACATAAACTTTACCGATATGTTAAATTATTTATCTGCAACAGAAAATACATTAGCATGCTCCTAGTGTATATTAATTGCACGTTAACTGCACCTCCTTTGCACTGGTGGCACGCACCTGCCAACTCAGCCAAGTAAAGCAGAGCTGAAGGCAAACACAGCAAGGGCACGTGCAGGGTTGAAGAGGATTCACAGTCAGTGAACGTGGAGGGACCGGCCGTCCAGCTGAGCCTGTGCCAGCCCCACCGGGGACAAATTCCCATTCCAGGAGCAACAAGGCAGCCCCATCCCATCCCATCCCATCCCATCCCATCCCATCCCATCCCAGATGGGCTTCACAGAATATGCCACGTTGGAAGGGACCCTCAAGGATCATCGAGTCCAACCCTTAGTCCTGCACAGACCCATCCCCAAGAGTCACACCCTGTGCCTGAGAGTGTTGTCCAAACACTCCTGGAGCTCTGGCAGCCCTGGTGAGCCTATTCAGTGACATCCACCAACTTCTGGGGTAGAAACCTTTTCCTGGGATCCAACGTAAGCCTGCCCTGACCCAGCTCCAGACCATTCCCTGGGTCCTGTCCCTGGTCCCCACAGAGCAGAGATCAGAGCCTGCCCCTCTTCAGGAAGTTTTAAGTGCAGAAAGGTCTCCCCTCAGTCTCCTCCAGCTGAAGACACCAAGTGCCCTCAGCCGTTCCTCACACGGCTTCCCCTCAAGACCCTTCCCCATCTCCGTTTCCCTCCTTTGGATGCTCTCTAACAGCTCCAGCAGAAGCCAGGTGTGTACATCCCATCCCTCTTTCCTGGCGGGGGTGACTACACTTTGCGGTGACACCAGGACTTTATTACTACAAAGAGCTCTTTCCCTATCGCCGTGCCGTGCACGCAGTGACCCGGGCGGTGCCGGAGAGCAGCTGAGGAGCAATGCCCGGCCCGGCCCAGGCGCTGCCGCCTCCGGTGCCCCCGCAGCGCCCCCTGCGGGCCCCGCCGGGCACGGCCGCTCCCCGAACCTCCCCGCGGGAGCGCCCACGGCCCCGGCTCCGCTTCCCCACTGCCCCCGGGGGCAATTCCACCTCGCAAGCTTCCCCTTCCTTCCCAAATAACTCAGTCATCTGAGAGCACCGTTAGGGAATACTATAGGATACTTCAGTCTTACCTGTTTCATGACATGAACAACTCCTGCGTATTTAACAACTCCTCCAAAATTACTAACTTAAAGTATTTCAAAAATTGGTTTCTACTCAGAATATGTATTGCCTTAAAAGATATTAATACATGCATACTGGTCTGAATATACGAATAATATAATTAAATCTTTGCAAAACACCAACCTGAATAATGACAAAAATATTTGCATAGTTATGCAAATCCTTAATCGAGAAGAACAATCACTGTTTGCTGCCATAAAGCACAAGACCACTAGGAATGACTCCTGAAGATGTCAAACCATTCTTTCTTGATTCCCAAAAGGATGCATTTCCAGCTTCTAACTACTGAAGAAAATAATTTTGCAAGTTCAGATATAAATGTATCTTTTATTACTATTCATACTCCACTTCACGTAGTCTGATTCTGTGCCGACTTATAAGAATGAGTCAGCTTAGCTATTAACAACTATTAAATGAACAATATATATTCATAACATTCATCAAGTAATTTAAACACCTCTGCTGCTTAGATTTTATAACAACAATGGAAACAGTACAACAAGAATAAAGCCAACACTATTATTTAATCAATTATCATGGACAAAAGCATTCTTCAGTCTTGTCACTGGTAAGAACAAATGAGCTTACTAAAACTTTACCATTGTGAAAATAGACACAAACCAATAAATATGAACCTCATAACTCAAATAACTGTCATGGAAGGACAAAGCCAGTGACTAATTTTGATGAATTCAAGCACTCTGACTTCTCAGTGTTTGCCAAACACTACAAAACTGAATGAGGTTTCTGTCACCAAAATGGTAATTCCTGTCCATGTATTTTTCACAAAAATGCTTTTTCACAAAATTGTGTTTTAGCATCACGAATTCTATTGGAAACCAAAGTGTTTGCAGAAAGGAGGTTTAGTAAATGCTCCTTGCATTAAAAAATCATTGCCTTTCATGTGCTCACCCCAGCAAAGCACAAACCATCTGAAGTTCATGCAGCTCTCAGTGCTCTGGAGCTACTGAGGCAGAACTTTGCCTCAAAACAGTCTACAATTCTGTGAGTAAGGTTGGAGAAAAATGAAATGCAAGGTGAAACAAAACTATCCATTTTTTAATAAATTACTCTGAAATTATTTTTTTTTCATTGTTATCATATTTATGTAATAAACCAGGTAAAAATTCCCTATAATTTTCACACTTTGGCAGTGGTACTTAGGCTACACAGCAGAAATTACAGCAAGAAGAAATATGAGCGCAGAGAGGCTTCAACAGCTTTCAACCAGCACCTTTTCCAACTTTTTAACTGGAGGTAGTTCAACACTTTGAAACGATCAGTTACAACCATTGAGAACGAGCAAGACCAGTCAGTTTGTGAGTTATCTGTCCATCGTGTTGAGAAGCCATTTCACAGGTCGCTTCTGTTTTGTCTTCTCTCAGAGTTGCTGTTTCTATCCCATCTAAAACAGGAACAATCTCACTGGCACAATGTTCATTTTTCACAGTAGAAATATCTTGGAATGATTTCAGGGCAACTTTGAGGAAAAAAAAAAAATTAAATATTGTGATGATTAACTGGAAAGACAAGTAAATATTTCAATAAATTTAACAAATATGCAGTTTAATTTAGCGGAGAAAATACTGCCAATACGTACCAACATCTTTTACACTTTATTTGGGGAATGAATCTATCTTATGTCAAATATTACATTACAAGCCATGTTACTGAGTATGGTATTCTCATCAGAGGAAAACGAAGCATTATTTAACTGGAAATTTAATTCTCATATACATCTTTTTGCTTTTTTATTAGTAACAGCATATCACTGACAGCACCAGTCTCACAAGTTATCTTTTGTAAAGCCACAAAGAGGATCCCACAGATCCTTTCAAGTTATGCAGGAAGTGGACAGTGACACCCAAATATCTGAAACTTCACCTCTGGGGAAAAACCTTCTGAAACAGCACAGAAATTTCTAATATTTGTGTGAGTCAATTTATGAACTGGGTATTTGCATGAAAAACATCTAAAGATACATTACATAGCTCTAGAAAAAAATCAAGCTTTCAGATGAAGATATTTGCAAGATACCAAAAAGAAACTGTTTGCATGTAGGAAAACATTAATAAACAGCAAAATCTAATTACTGCAAAAACATAAACACTGCAGCTGTAACACTCCTCTCTAACCATACCATTACAGCCTCACCAGTGAAAACAGAAGTGTCAATGCTACTGTAAACTCAGCTGCGAATATATATTCATCAGATTCAGAAAAGCTCCAACATTTCTTCTTCTCACAATGTCAGATTTTCTCTCAGTGTCACTGGCCCCAGATCAGTGCAGATACCACCTGATATATGAAAAGGTAAGGTTTGGGGACACCCAGGCCAAAGATGTATCTGTATTCTTGTCTCTTACTCCATAAAAATCACATGAGAAATCCTATCAAGGAGACTATTATGGCTTTCAAACACCATGGGGGAAGCACAGGGGCAAATGATGGCTACTTTTTGGCCCTGGTGGCCCTGAAGGTGACCTTGGAAACACAGAACCAGCTCTCACCCTGCAACAGTGCAGAGACTGAAGTGACAGAATAAACACTCAGTGCTCCAGAGCAACCCACAAAGAGCAACACTAAGTAATTATGGGTGATTTTCTGACTTCACAGACGTGCGTGACCAAGGGCTCCATGAATGGGCCTGCTCATCTTTGCAGTGTGAGAGACGCCATTTAAATCAGTAACATTTTATTATTATTTGATCATTACCTGGTCTAAGTATGACAGAAAGGTGGTGAACAATTTCTTTATTAAGATGGGTTAGACCTTTTGTGGTCATAAGGCAATCTGAGCCCTGAAAGTGAAAAGTTTTTAATCTGGTCTGTATTAAAGCAGTGTATTATAAATCATGAGCTCTCAAGAAACCTCACTAGGGCTTAACTCAATGATGGGTCTCATTCTCATTTATAAAGGCAAAGGGAATTTGCAAAAGGGAAAAGAAAACCATATTTGTAAGCACTGCTAAGCAGGGAGTTTAGGAACTCGTTTGGAGCAGGGGAATGGCCCAGACTGGGCACCTGAGCAACGACTCAACACAGATGATAAGAATTTCTGACACACAAAAAAGCCTATTCTGAAGTATTCTTCCACTGTTAGCTTCACTATGAAACAGTAATTAAACAGCAGGGAAGACTCACTGCCTTGGCCTTTTAGTCTTGATTCTAATTTACATGATTAAATTCTAACTTACTCGCTGATTACCTTCTGACTTTACACGCTTGGGGTTCTCATGGATTTTATTTTTCCCCTTGCTTCTTTTTCTGGGTGCAGCAGTTTCCGCCCTCCCCAGTCCACAATTTTCAGCATGCTTACGCATATTTTTCTGTCAGCATAATGAAGAATACATATATGAATCAAATATTAATCTATGCAAGCAACTTAACACACAAAAAACAAATACAGCTCTAACAGACAAATTTTGGAATGCTAAGGGGAAGACTGACTCAGTTAACAACATTCATAAAACTCCTGAAGATTTTCCAGAGTATGTATTGAAATTCTGCTGTAAAGGAGCGTTGCCATTTGGTGGGTATAAAATAAAATTTATAATTTTCCGGTTCCCAGATAAGCAATAAAGTTTTACATGTAAAATCTGTACATTGAAAAAAGGTTGCACTTACTTTAAAGTGTGCACAGTTAACCCAAAATGAGAAGTATGTTCTCACTGCATAGGGTTTTGGAGTAGGCAGGGACACCTTCCACTATCCCAGGTTGTTCCAAGCCCCATCCAACCTGGCCTTGGACACTTCCAGGGATGGGGCAGCCACAGCTTCCCTGGGCAGCCTGTGCCAGGGCCTCACCACTCTCACAGTAAAGATTTTATTTTCTAATATCCAATCTCAGCCTACTCTCTGTCAGTTTAAAGCCATTCCCCCTTGTTCTGTCGCTACATGCCCTTGTAAATAGTCCCTTGTGCCAATATGATCTGCAATACTTGCTAAAGGTAACTCCACTGAGATCCCTTAAAAGGAAGTATCTTACCCTGCCCTTATCTATCTTTGCCCTTACCACATTTAGGGCATTTATAAACTGCAGGTTTAACACTACAGTCCTGGTGCTTC